GGGCCGAGAAAAGGCGGGGCTGAGCCGGGAGGGGCGGGGCGGGGCGAGGTTGGTAGGCGCAAGGCCTGATTTGGAAGGTGTGGGGCGAGGTAGGTAGGGGCAGGGTCTGGCTAGGAGGAGCAGTGTGAGGGAGGTAGGGGTTGGGGCATGGCTGGGAGGGGCGGGATGGAGGCCTCGGGGGCAGAGGGAGGCGGGGCGAAGCAGGGAAGAACTGGGAGGGACCGAGTAGTGGAAGGGCGGATCCTGTCCTGGAATGGGCGTGGCTTGTCGCGTGACCCCGCCCCCCACAGACTACCACCGCTGCCTCAAGATCAGGACCCGCCGTGGGAAGAGCACGCAGCCCTGCGAGTACTATTACCGCGTGTACCACTCGCTGTGCCCCACCAGCTGGGTGAGTCGGCAGAGGGGGCGCCGGGCCAGGCGTGGGGAGGGCTCGGCTGAGGCTGAGCCGGCGTCCCGCTCCCTGCCTTTCTGCTTCCCAGGTGGAGAGCTGGAATGAGCAGATCAAGAACGGGACTTTCGCCGGCAAAATCTGACTGCCCAGGCGCGGCCTCCTCTGAAGATGCAGTGACCCTGCATCTTTTTGTCTCGCGGAGGCCCGGCCTCGGTTATCCACCCCTACCTCCCAGTGTCTAAGCCACGAATAATGTTATGCTGTTGCTGATGTTCCTTCTTCATGCCCAGCCAGCGGTGCGTCGTGGTGGTGGTGGGGATCCTCCCTGTGCCTGTGTCCGGGCTAACACTGCTTTTTCTAATAAGGGGCAGGTGAAGGACTGCTGCTCTATCAGGCAGAGACGGCAGTCAGGGCCCTAAGATAGGAAGCCGAGTGCCTCCCGTCCTTTTCCCTCTCCATTCCAGCAGGTAGATGCCTCATGTTGACAGCTGTAAGCCAGCTCCGGGTCCCCAGTTCTCAACACTGTCCCACCTAGATGACTCCAAGTGTTCCTGCCTCTCAATCACCACACCTACCTCTCACCTCAGTCTTTCCCCTACTCCCTTCCTGCCTGCACCATCTCCCCCATCTCCCCAGGCTCCTTCCCCATCCCACCCCGATCCATCCCATCTGGGATCCTGAGGGGTCTTCTTTGTACCACCCAAAGCTGACTCCATCCCTCCCTCCCCCACTATCTCTGGACTTTCCACCACTCCCTTCCCACCTGGCTCATTCCCCTCCCAGAACATCGAGAGCCCCATCACGGGAGCCAGCTTATTCCCAACAGAGTCCCCTGGTGTCCACCCTTTTGGCACCCACACCCACAGCCAGGAGTAGCAGCCTGCTTGGTTCTGCAGTGCATCAGGCTCACCCCGCACCCCCACCCCGCAGAGGCCGCTGTCGGTCTTTCCTACCACACATATCGCCGCAATTTCTCCCGTGACCCCCGCCAGACTGCCAGCACCCAGAGGACGCTCAGATCTCCCTCAGAATCATTCTCTACTCCTTCCCCATCCTGGCACAGAGCCCTAGGGTTCTAGCCTGGTCCTGCGGAGGGAGCCGTGAGACCAGTCAGCCTGGGGTGCTGGTTTTCCCAACTGGTGCTCCCTGAACTATCAGCCTCCCAAAGGGGCTCTTAGGAGGGGGAAGTCCCAACCTCTGACTGAAGCGGTCCTCTGAGGCCCTGTTCAACCCCAGGGTTCAAAGGTGACTACAACTAATCATGACAACTTGCAGGGTGACCCTAGACAAGCTTCTTGACCTGTGTGAACCCAAGGTTCCCCAAGGCAAGCTAAGATGGCTCAGGGCCCCATTATCAGAGGAGGTGGAGCTGGGTGAGCTCAGAGGACTGACTCCATCCTGCTCCCTGCTCCATGATGACCTGTCCATCACCTGCCCTCCACGCTGCCCAGGACACACCCTAGACGGGCCATCTCCCAGGATGACGCCACCTCTGAGATCTTGGCCTCCTGACTCCGTCTCTGACCACAACCCGAGAATGGGGTGAGGGTACAGGGTGTGGACTCAGCTACAGGAGGGCTTCCTGTTCATGCAACGTCCCCAGAGCCTTGCCGCAGGCACAGAGGCGCTGGTAGAACCACGGGGGCAGGACCCCTCTCTGAGTCACAGAATGGAGCTAAGTTGGTGAGGTCACCCAGGTAACATCCCAAGCACAGGGCACCACACCTGTGCAGCCACAACTGCCTCGTGACCTCCCCAGAGCCGTGTCTAGAACCCATTTTTGCGCTGTTGGCCAGCCTTCCTTCTTCCTCCCCCTCCCATCTTCTCTTCACTGCTTCCAGACCTCATCTCAGCACATTCTCACACTCCCGACCCCTTCTGCAGCTGCCACTGCCCCACTGATGCCTGAGCCAGGGGCAGGGGCAGACCTGCCCAGCCTGGCCTATAGCCTGGTGGACCATCACATGTGCAAACTCCAAACACCTCCAACATGTGCTCCAGCTGGCTTTCCCTGGTGTCTAGCAGCCGCGTCCTGAGACCCCTAATGCCAGCCTCACAGTCTCGGCAACCTCCCCGGTCAGAGAAAACTGAGGCCACTCCACTTATTCCTGCCCCCACCCAGAACACCTGCATCCTTGTTCGCTCAACCTCCTCCTCCCCACTTCTTTCTCCTCCTCCAGCCCCATCTCTTCAATCCTCCCATCATCCCCTCCCTCTGCAGTTCTTCCCTCAGAACCTGCTCCGTCCTCCCAGCCTCCAGATCATGGATCCTGAAGGCCACCTGCTCTGCCTCTCCTACTCACTGTCCCTTGGCTCCTAGGGGTGCAGCTTCGCCCCTTCTCTCTGGGTTTCCCTCTTCCCCATCCTGAAGGTGGCAGAGCCCAAACGGTTCTGAAAATGAGTTCAGTCCAGGCCCTGAAGCTTACTAACCATGTGGCCTGGGACGAGTTCGCTAGCCCCTCTGCACTGTGGTCTTTTCATCTGAAATATGGTAACAATGACATAATAATGACACCTCCACTTCCTAGGGCTGTGGGGAGGACGGCGATGTGAAAACATACCAAGCAGAACGGTGTCTGGCTCTGCTCTTCTCAGTGTGTGGGGTCTCTAGCCAGACAGACAATCAGAGTCACTCGAATCAGCATGTCGGCTCAATTCTGGTGCCCCATCTCGTACTGGACAGTGGGACTGATCGACCGGACAGATAGCCCAGGGATGGCCCCAGAAACCAGTCCTGGAGCTCTTGGAGGCATCTGGTTGACTAGCTTGCAGTCAGAGCGCGCCCGCACAGGGAGACACGGGGTCAGGGTGGGGAGTCCTTGGCTAGGGCCCTGCCTGCCTGCCAGCCAAACGCTGAGAGCAGTTCTAGTGCCACATACCCAGGTCAGCCCTGGTTGTCAGGGTTTCCTGTTTCAATAAACTTCCTTCCACCTTCACCTACAGCCACCAGGCTCCGAGTTCCTTGTTTCCCTTGCTCTGGCCTCCAAGTGTATGACGGGGTTCTCAGGCCCAGGCTTCGACCAGAGGACCCTCCGCCACCACCGTTTCTTCCCGTCCTTGAGCTACCTTGGTGAACTCATGACCCCAGGCCCCGGCTGCACCAGGATGCCCCCAGGTCCTGCCAGCTGGGAAGTGCCAGCATGAATTCCTCAAACTTCGTGGAAGCCAGGGTCCCCTGCAGCTGAGGGACCCTCCCCAGGCCGGCTCCTGTCTGCGTGGGCGACATGACTCTGAGAGCGCCCACGCCCCTGAGGCTGTCCCGACCATCATGCTGCAACAAGGATAGGGAATGACCACTATGGTCCTGGCGTCTCCCCTCCCCCACCACTCCCCAAGCACCACTTGAGCTGCTGCCCGGCTCAAGCCAGAAGCTGACTCTGGCCCCCATGGGGACATCAGGCAAGGTCTGGAGACATTTTTGGTTGGGACGGAGGGATGTTCCTGGCATCTAGTGGGTGAAGACTAGGGAAGCTGCCCAACATCCTGCAATGCATAGGAGAGGACACGCCCTGCCCAGAAACACCAGCTCGGCATGGCAGCAGCGTGGAGGCCGGGAAACCCTGATCGCCAGTTTCTTAACGCCCTCCGCCTCCCGGGTTCAAATGATTCTCCTGCCTCAGCCTCCCGAGTAGCTGGGATTACAGGCATACGCCACCATGCCCGCCTAAGTTTGTATTTTTAGTAGAGATGAGGTTTCTCCATGTTGGTCAGGCTGGTCTCAAACGCCCAATCTCAGGCAGTCTGCCCGCCTTGGCCTCCCAAAGTGCTGGGATTACAGGTGTGAGCCACCGCACCTGGCTTGCCCCTGGTTTTTAGCCCTTTTTGTTGGGGGGGGGTGGGGTGGGGCAGATATAGAAACTTGTGAGAATGTGATGAACGCTCTGAACCCCCTGTAAAAAACGTGCATATGAATGTGTACTCTCAACACTGAAGATTTCCGAAGGTTCCGGGAAGTTCCGACGTCCACCCATGAGTCCTCAGCTAAGACTCCCTGCTCTGCTGCCCTCTTCTTCTAAGAGCTGTTGCAACAGCACCTGAATTTCAGAAACAAAAGGCCGGGCGTGGTGGCTCACACCTGTAATCCTAGCACTTTGGGAGGCGGAGGCAGAAGGATTGCTTGAGCTCAGGAGTTTGAGACCAGCCTGAGCAACACAGTGAGACACAATCGCTACAAAAAATTTTAAAAATCAGCTTGACGGGGTGGCGTGCGCCCGTGGTCCCAGCCACTCGGGAGGCTGAGGCAGGAGAATTGCTTGAATCCAGGAGACGAAGGTTGCAGTGAGCCGAGATGGCGCCACTGCATTCCAGCCTGGGCCACAGAGCGAGACCCTGTCTCAAAAAAAAAAAAAAAAAAAGGAAAGAAACGAACGGCATGGCTTCAGTTCATTATTCAGAGACAAATCCCTGGGGACTGCTACTGGAGCCATCTCTCTGCCGTTTGACGACCTGGAGCTCTCTCCATCCTTATTTTTAACATGAGAAAGAAAACAAACAGGGTTTAGCAGGATTTGCACTACAAGAAAGAGGAATTTTCTCCCTGCAAAAGAAATAGAACAGGCCATATTATCCAATGTATCTAAACGAGTTTTAAAGTAAACAAGGTTTGACCTGTTCTCAACTGCCCCCTTGTCCCCACCTCCCAGGGCCACTGCAGAGGTGCTCATGTGGGTCTCGCTGTGGCCTCTCCTCCCCCGTTGCTCCCTCTCCACCAGGGGCAAGGAGAGTTCCCTGATACCTGCGGCCTGGCCTCGTCCACCTCCACAGTAAGCTTATTCAAGGCTGGCAGATGTGGAGGTGCGCAGGGGGGTCCTGGAGCCAGCAGGTGACCTGTAGCTGCCCAAGTAAGACGGGCTCGGTGGCCCCAATGAGAAAAGTGTCTGTGAGAAGCTGGAGGTACCTGGGATCAGGGAGTGCTCACGGTCAGCCACTGTTAGTCCTTTTGCAAAACGAGATTACAAGGAGAGTTAAGACGCCCTGGCAAAATCCAGATCCTGGATTGGACCTGAAGAAACAAGATTCATCATCCTGGCCTCAGACACCACAAAGTCCAAGATGCCACAGCTGAGGAAGGCCCCGTAGCGCCGCCTCCCCCAGGCCTGGCTCTGGTGTCCTGGGCAGCCCCCACACCCCCACTCAGCCAGCCCCCACCAGTCTCTCTGTTTGGACTGAGATGTGGGAGGGGCCTCTCACTGAGAAGTGCCAGAAGGGAGAAGGGCCCTCAAAAGCCCTCAAGTCCCCATGTGGCCTTGGCAAGTCACTCTGCTTGCTAAACCTTGTTGGCCTCGCCTGGAAAATGGGAGGACCCACTCCTAGGAGAGGATGGGTCTGAAGGCATTTTTATAAGCACAGCCCGAGTGGGGATGGGGCTCCAGCCTCAGTCCCCCTAGTCCGTCACCCTCCCAAATCCCTCTCTCGACAGCTCTCAGGGCCGCAGACCTGGGCTGCCTCTTCCCCTTCTCACCAGCACAGCTGACGGTCTCACCCTCCCCATATCCCTTGAAAACGTAAGCCAAAACAAAACACCGTCAAGGGTGCTGCTTATAACAAGGTTTTAATAAAATAAAAAGTTCAAGTGCTTCCAATCCCCCAACATACCCCTTTCTGGTGTGGGGGAGGGGAGGGAGCCCCCCACCCCGATAGCACCAGGATAGCACCATGAGAAAGATGAGGTCGCACCCGGCCTCCCTGAGACCCACAGGGGGTGGTGAGGGGAACATGCCCCCAGACACCCCCCAACCTTCCCCCCACCGTAGACAGCTGCAGAGCTGAGAGCGAACCCAGTCCCCTCGTGAGGACAGTCTCCGGGGAGTGCCACCTCCCGTCAGTTCCACCTCCTCCTGAGGCCTGTACTTCCGAGGAGATGCCGTGGGTGGCCCCTGCCCCTTATGGCTTAGCTCCCTGGGGAGGAAGGGGCTGAGGGAGGCGGACGGCTCCTGCAGTCCTGAGGCTGGGGCAGGGGTGGGAAGGGCAGCAAATGGCCAGGGCTCCCTGTGGGAGTGGGGGTGGCTCAGGGGTCAGCAGTCACAAAGGGTCAGGGGTCAAATCCCTGGGGGCATCCAAACCAACCCCGTTCCAGGGTCAGAGCTATGCTGGAGTCAAGGGTCAGCTCCCTCCCAGAGGTCCAAGGGCTCCTTCTGAAGGTCCTGGGGAGTAGCTAGGAGAGGGACCCTCTCTCCCTGCTGGGCCTCCCCGTCCGGCCTGTCACAGCTCTTCCCCGTCGACATCTAGGTCGATGGAACCGTGGCTGACCACCAGCCGTAGGCGCTTGGGTGGGGAGAAGGGGGCGAAGGCGAGGGCCTGCTTCGGGATCAGGATGGGGCCTGGGGGCCCAGCAGGGGCTGGGGTGGCTGGTGGGGCTGGGGCCAGGCGACGAAGGTCCACACGCACTACGTAAGGCAGCCCATAGCGCCGGGCCCAGTGCCAGTCCTGCTGGGGAATCCAGCGGGCACGGGGGGGCTGGCCCAGGGCCACCAGGGCCTCTCCTCGCAGGCGGCAGTGGGGGCCACAGCCTCCCCATCGGTGCAGGGAGATGCGGGCGGCGTGGTGGGTGGAGAGCACTGGGGCTCTCCGGGGCCGGGGGCGTCGGCGCTTCCGGGGCCGCACTCGGGGCTGGGGCTGAGGCAGCCACTGGAGCCAGAGGGGTGAGGTGTCTGGGCGGGTGCTACAGGCTGGCAGGCGCAGGGGTTGGCAGGCGGCTGTGAAGGTCCAGGTAGCAGGGAGAGGAGGAATAAAGGAGAGGTGAAGTCAGTGCAAGCTGGGCCGGTCCTCCTCTGGACAAGGAGGCGGCTCTGCCCTGCACTCCCCAGAGGAACCATGTAGGCAGAACTGCTCAACAGCGAGGCCTGCCAGGGGCTGAGGGTGGGAGGGAGGGTGCCAGGCTAGGCAGAGAGCTCAGAAGAAAGGAGACAGATGACCAGGAGCACACAGGGTAGGGGCTGCCGGGATGGCAGGGAGGGGTGCTCACCACAGAACGGGTCCCGGCGCAGCGGGGACGGGTGCAGGCAGACCCGAGGGCCCAGCAGGCCCTGTCGGCCGCCGCTGTCCAGGCCTTGCAGCCGCCGCTTGGTCTCACGTAGCTGGTACTTGTCCAGGGGCCGTGGTGGCAACGCAGGCTCCCTAGGTCTCGTTCGGAAAGCTCCTTCGCCTTTCCTGGGAGATCGGGTGGAGGGGAGATGAGAGGCTGGGGTTGAACACACTCAGGGATGGGCCCCGAGGGTGCATTTCTGGGCTCAAGGAGCCCGGATACCTGGGGCAGCCAGCCTGTCCTGAACCCACCCGCCCCTTGCCTGGTCCCCACCTCTCACAGGTGTAGCATTCACAGTGCTCATTCTTCTCGCCGAAGAAGCCATCGCCGTAGAAGCACGTCACCTCGTCCCCAGGCTCGATGTCCCGGAGCACCTTCACACAGGCGGCGTTCCCGTCTGCAGGCACAAACTGAGGGCAAAGCCCACTCAGCGCCCTGGCCCAGGGGAGGGCTCACCCATGCCCCACGCCTGGCCGGACACCCTGGCCCTGAGCGTCCTGTTCTGGAATGGGGCAACAGCCGAGCCCCTAAAAGTGGCCTTTGGAGGCGGCTGCCTTGCCCAGGGCCTGTCCTTTGCCTGTAGCCCCTGGACAATCCACCCACTGGCTGGTTTCCACCCCTCCCTGCAGGACGATGATCTAACCTGACCTTCTGGCAGCATGCCGTGCCAGCAGTGCTGACCGCTCCCTCCAGCCTCTGTGGCCTTGTGCCAAGCCCCACCTCTTCTGCCACACCCAAGCCCATCCCCTCCTGAGCTGCCTGCCCCCCACCAAACTGTTCCTTGGCAGCTGAGGTCTGAGCTCTGCCTGCCATGGGCTGCCCCCGCTTCTCTGAGGCCCGCCTCCACTCCACAGCCCAATCCGTGTGGGCTCTGGCCCTGCCTTTGGGATCATTCACCCAGGAGCTGCCCCGCAGGCT